TTTCAACAGGCAACTATTGAACACACAATATTGACATTATTTGGAGAATATGCAGCAAACATGTGACATGATTCCTTCTTTCCTTTTCTTTTCTCTTTTTTGATTATTGAGTATCATTAGAATTATGGATCTTTCTATGGTGAAAAGAAAGAGAAGTGTTCTATCTTTCTATCTTGTCACAGATTTTAAATGCATGATAATCTCCATCAAGACTTGAAGCTTACGAGCCTCTAGTTTCCAATGCCTCCAGAATATAGTTATTATAATGATGCGGAAATATTCTCCCATCCCTAAGGATTTTGGACTAAGAGCACAAGATTAATGAATGGACAATCGACCATGAGGAGAGCAACAATTCTGAGCTCAAGTTCAACTTTTCAGAGAGACCCATTTTACCGTTTCATTTTCTTTTTTTTCTTTTCTTTTTTTATTCTTATCATAAAGGAGTTGGAAAATGAACCTCTCTAAATAATTAATCAAAGCTCAAAATCACTGGTCACATCATACTTCCACATATCAAACTGCGTAGGGCGACACATTCTCTAGTCTTATCTAATATTCTACACTAAAAAATGGGGAACTGACATTAAAAGGAGGAGGGTATAACATTTGAGAAACACAAAAATGCATAGTATGATCAGTAAGACGACCTACTGGGCTTTGCACGAAACAGCTCAAGACAATGTCAATGTATTTAACATTACTGCATTTTGTCTTGACATTTCATTGAATACTAGTACATTAAAGTATCCCTATCTGGGACATAATGTTCCATGGAATAATTCCTCCTACATATGGCCCATGTTACAATTATCCTTATTTTAAATGTTTAAATAAGTTGCGCATGAGAAGAGCCACAAGAACCAACAACTTTGACAGAGCCAGTCTCAGGAATGCATTAGCTTTTAATAGCGTGCTGATCGTTCTGATTTTTCCTAATTACTTTGTGTTGTTGCGAGTTTGGCAGTGAATTCAAAAAGAGTTCATTCTACAACATTACAATACACTACTGGTGTGCATTTCAACAGTGAAGGTCCTACTTACAATTCTCATATGATATAATGGCCAAAGAAATTCTGATTATAAGATATACATGAAGGTGGTACACTGTAATCAAACTTGATGGTCTCTCTAAAAACTCTACTCGATTAAATACAATATCAAAGTTTATTGTTCCCCTGGTCATTATATCAGGAAAGTAAATCTAGGATATGCATTGGTTGATGAACGTTTAATGTATTATTGCTCTATCTAACCAGATCACACTACATTGGAGGAAATCTTCTGCATTAATTTTTTTCTTTTTTTAAATACATTGTTAACAACTATTTTAAAGTGTTAAGAAACAAAGAAATTTCACAACCATACTCAATTCTTGAAAGTGTCATGGCATGAGTTATGTCAAGGTAAGCCAGGACTGCCAGTCTGTCGATGCTTACTTATGCTGGCATGAATTCTAAACTTCAATCTCTTTTTTTCCCTAAATTTAAAGATAAACTGTTTTATGGGTAATCATCAACACTACCACAGAGAAAGGTACTTCGGAAAGAGTCAATAAAAATTCAATACTATAACAAACTACTCATATCCATCAAGTGACCATTAATCAATTTATAAAAACATTTTCATGGATATAGGCCACAAACTAGAGGAAAATTAGGTTTGTGAGCCTTGGGCAGACCTATGAAATAGTTGCATTTTCACTATTTCAATATATCCACAATGAGTAATACCACATTATCATAAAAACAAATCATGACAAAAACTGTACAAATCACAATTTTTAACCCTAACCCACAAAACCAATTTTCTTCGGAGATTTACAGTAAAACCCTCCATCTCTAGATACGACAGCCCGAGTAACTAGTCAACTGCCAACACTTTAATGAAATGTAAATTCTAAATCACTTCAAACCAATGAGAAAAATGAAAGAGTAAGTACTAGAAAATTATTCATATTGCCTGACTCCCATAAAATAAAGAAAGTATATATAAAATACCACTATGAGTAAATAAGCCATTTTGGAATACACTGACAAAGAATTACATTTAAATCAAGGTACTCAAAGCAATTTGGCTTTTGAATGTTGAAAGGTTTTCTCAGTGATTAGTCATGGCTGCAGGAACAGGAGCTGGATTTATTGTAACTTGATAACCCAACACCATACATAAACAGGATATAACATAGTATGGATTAGAGTTATCGTCATAACACTTATGTCACACAAACATGCCTGATTGGTCCTTGAAATATGGGAAACGTGGCTCCAACTTCAGCTCCTGCAACTACACTAACTTCCGTTTTCCAACCCCATCAGTTTCCATCCTTTATGTATGTCATCTCTTGCATATCCAATAGGTTTGCAAAAGTAGTCTTCCTTCAACAACAGAAAAAAAACAGAAAATAAAAGGATGTATGTATGAGTATATACACATATTATATATATATATATATATATATATATATATATATATATATATATATATATATATATATATATATATATATATATGTACATACATACATACACCCCCACAAACAAATACATAAACACACAATATATATATTTTTTGCAACTTATTACTTCTTCTTTTACAAAGCTGAACTGCAAGAAAGACAGAACAGCTGGGAGACCTCGCCTATGGGAAAAAAGTGGTCTGGTCCGTAATAGATTTACATTTCAGTACCATTATTGTTATAATCACTTTTGTTGAACTAATTTCCCATGAATATCAACAGAAAACTCTGTATTCTGGAAGAGTACATACATAATATTCTATTTCCAAAGAATAGTTCATAACCATAATTAATTTTGTCTCTTTAACAAGTTTACATTTATATCCTTTATTGTTAACTGAACTTTGTCTCCCAGCATTAGAAAAAATACTACGGGCAATAAGTCAATGCAACATATGTTGAACCTTCATTTTCATGGAAAGTAGATGGGGAGTTAGTATCTTTTAACATTTTTAACAAACAAGTAACTAACAGGGCCCAGTCAAAAAAATAGATCATACAAACAATAAGTACATTTTATACAATGTAATCTACAATGTAAAAAACAGGAAGAAAATGATGATGATGGTGCATTTAATCTCATCTTAAACATTCAACTATAGGCTCTAAAATGCTGACATTGGAAATGTTACCTATACCTTCTCTATACTTCATATGGTGAGCCACTTACATATCCGGCCAGCAACACCTTTCTCCAAATGGATATACTGCGTCCCAGCCTTTGATCAATCTTTTGAAGCACCAGTTGACATGAGGCTACTGAATCTAAGGCTCAAATTCGTCCAATTTTGAGGTCGTTGTAAAAGGCATTTTGGAAAACATGAGGCTCACTTGTTAACACTATTATGCAATTGGCCAGTTTCATTTTTCAAAAAGGATTGATATATTACTGATATACTAGCAAATATCCACTATTACAAGTTACACATACTTTATCAAGTCTAATTACAATTTGAGACCATGAAACTGGAGTATCATATGTTCCTTGACAAAATAATATGAACTACGGAAAACCATGAAATGCCTGGCTCGAACTATCCAAAAGGAATTTGGGACATACAGTATCAGTTGAGTGAATAATCATCGTTGCCTTTGGTGACCGTATATGCTGGAGACATCCTTAATACTCTCAGCACCAGAGCTCTCACTGGGCTTTGGATAGTTAAGTTAATGTTTATCCTACAGAATTTTAGAGCACTGTTTGTACACATAGCCTTAATCAAATGAGAAGAAAATACACTGCAATGTAATCAGCACAAAAAAGGTACATACAACAATTCAGAGCTCACAACCTTTTCCTTTCAGAAAAAAAAATATATTGGTGACTATTTTTCTAAATATAATTAGTAGTAACCTTTAAGGCAACAACCAAGTCTCCTTTTACATAAAAAGTAATATTGCTTCTGTATCATTACAAAAAGGAAAATAATCTTTCTTAAAAATACTAAATTCTGTACACTAATATTCAATGATAAGTAATCCAATAATACTATGACTAACCTAAGTACAGTGCTTGTATTGTAAGTTCACATATATCTCCATAACTTAAAGTGACTAGATGGTATGCAGTGCTTATTCAACAATATTTTCCCATATTCTGTTGAGATTATGTAAACATAGATTATGAATCAATCAATTATTATACGGTGAAGAGAGTATAATATGCATGCTCTGTTATAAGATGTAAATGAGTGTAAAAGTTAGTGAAGTGCTTGTATAGTGTTGCAGAGGCTGATGCTGAGAGCTGACATCTGTCCATCGAGGCTTGACTACACTATGTACAGGTCACAAGACAGGGATATCAGGAAGAAGAGAGAGATAGACGCGCCTTTTCTTGAAGATCTAGCATGTACCTGAGAGGATGAAAATGGTCAAATAGACAGGGCAATGCTGCAAATTAACTCCTTAACCTTTTTAATTAGTAATCTTCTCATTCAGGCAGCATAAGGAAAGTTAAATCTTGCAATATCTAAATC